TTTATGTTTGGTTCACATGTATTATGTGAGTGTCAAGCTCCTTAGGGAAAGAGAAAGAAAAAGACAGAGACTGAATCTGGAATGAACACACCCTTGTTTAACATCTCTCTTTGTGAGTTTCTGTATTTACTTTACACCATAGTACTCTTTAGATCCTTTATTCCTTCCCATCAAAGCAAGGCTTATCTTGTAGTTATAGCACTGTCTGCTTTGAATCATGTAGAAAGTACGAATTGGAAAAAGCACATACAATTCTGACTTTCTGAGAGCAAAAGGGGAAACAACTTCAAGGGATTTTGTTATTTTTTTATTTTAAATTAAGAGATAATTAGAAAAAGACACTCAGAAATAGAAAATGTCAGTGTCAGTTGATTAAATAGTTTGTTACAAATTTCAGTTTGCAGTAATTATTACATCCATATGTGACAGCCCAAAGGGGTTTTGATTAGAATCCTTTAATGCATGGGACGTTATACTATAAAAATTTTGGATGCGTATCAGAAATATTTTTAAGAAACTGCAACTGAAACCCCGCAGTCCCCTCTGTGTTTAAGGAAGAGAGCCATAAGGGTCAATGAGCATGTCCTAGCAGGAACAAACAGACCAAAGAAAGTGACAGGCAGGAAGTTTAACAGGTTGAAAAGGCACACACATACACAGCATCTACAACCGTAACTAGCATAGAATCAGGTTGAAAGGAAAAGTGAAAGAGTATAAAATATCTAAAATGCCATCCCATAATGGAACCATCTTTCTCTTTCACTCATTTAGTGTTTATGTTTAAAATTTGAAAAAGTGGCAGAAAAGCAGACAATGACTTTCTTTTTGTAGAAGAATGACCACAGCTTTGTAAAATACAACAGAAATCAATGACAAGCTTATTTTTGTGAAATGATTGTATACATTTCTCATGCATGCAAAATATATAGAACCAAGCTATATACATCATGAAGTACTAATGGCAACAAGCAAATAGTTAACAGCTAATTTCTGAGTAGTTGAAAAGCTAACACCTGAAGTCTCTAAAACCAAAAAAAGAGCATTTGTCTAAAGGTGCCTTAAGGCACAGCAAGAATTAAAAACAGTAATTCAACATTAAATATTAGAAATTAAAAACATTTCAGAATTTTTCAGGTTTTGCTGAGTGAAGGAATGGACAGTTTGTTGTCACTGGGATGAACATTATAGAGCTGGTAGACAGACTCATTTTTTATTGGCAGTAGAAGAAAAAAGAACATCTTGTGCAAAAATAAATCTCAATAATCCCAGGATGATAAACCAGTCTATGTTCCCAGCATAGGGTTATATTATTCTCTACATGTGCTACTCAGATAAGGATAGGAAACTCCTTAAATGTTCTTCTGGAGAATTTCTAATGTGCCTTGTCTTTGGATTAAGAGATTTGTCTTCTACCCATTCCCTGAGAGGGGCCAAATTAGCAAGATCTCCATTCCTCTGTTTGGATAACTAGGGAACTATGTAAATCAGGTCTTCCTTAGCACACTACCTCTAAAGCATTTTCACTGCGCTGCAGGTGAAGTATTCCACATTAGAGGAAAGTTATGCAGGCTTAGTTAGAGCCTAATACAATGAACAAGAGATATCCTTCCCAGATTCTGCCCCATTCTGTACTTGAACTCGGCAAATGTGCCTGAGGGTCAATGTCCAAAGGGTACAGAGCAAGCGTGGGCAATTATTTGGGCTGGAGGGCCACTTAAGGACTTAAGGAGTTCTGATGAGTTGTTGTGGGCTGGGGGGGGGGGGGGGCAGAGAGAAGGAGGTTGTTGACCTGGCCTAGCACAGCAGGAGTTGGGAGAGGGGAATTGATCCTATCTGGGCCTGGGCACATCCACACCTACTGCCAGGGGCACTGGACAGAGCAGGTAAGTGGGTGGGGTCACCATGGAGACCAGCCCAGGACCCCCCAGCAGGCAGGGCATGCTCAGCGAGATGGATGGGATGGAGCTACAGGTGGGGGGGAGTGGCGTTTGGGAGCAGGACCGGTGGATGGGGCCAGGGTCGTTGGGCAGTGACAGTGTGGGGATGGGGCCTGGGGCAGAGCTGTGATCCACTCCCTGCACATGCCCATGATGGGTGCCAGTTCTGCAGGCAGGGAGATGCAGGGAGCAGATCACAGCCCCACTCCAGGCCTGGCCCCACATTGCCACCACCCCATGATCCCAGCCCCAGCCCCTACCTACTAGTCCTGCTCCCAGACGGTGCTCCCCACCTGCCCATGGCCTTATCTCATACACCAGACTGACTGCGTCCTGCTCACAGGGGTCCTGGGCTGGTCTCCATGGAGACCCTGCCTGCCTGCCCACTCCATCTGGTGACCCCAGCTATGGGTGCAGGGCAGACAGACTGGGGTGCCTCAGCAGCAGCACTGTAGCCAGCAACAGCAGCAGGGACACTTGCAGGCACCG